GGCAGGAGGGAGGGGCTACTATATTTGGACAAAAATGGCCGCTCCCAGACTCATTGATCACAACGAAACATTTTTTTTTTACTGATTAATGCTAAATTCATTCAATCACCGCAAACGTATTAGTTTTAGGTATAAATAATGATCCATTGATTTTTCCTTGCTGACCTTTCCTTTAATTTCTGCTAAAATGGCTGAGCTCCATCAGAAATCCCCCCCATCAGAGATGCAATGCAGAAGCGCACTGGCAAATTATGCTAAGATGAGGACATCCTTTAAAGATCTTTCAGCTTTTTTCCACCTCCAGCTTTTTTTTGGCTGTATTCCATCAATAAGGAAGGAGGTTTTTGACTTTGCAGACATATCAAAGTTGGAAACTCAAAAAACCCAACAGGAAGCCTGAGGAAACCCAAATCAACTTGGAAAACGAAATCAGAACTGGCTAAAATTCTCATGTTTTATTAAACCAGCAAGAAGAAAAACACTAAAGACAAGAAGAGTCCCCTGGAGGGCCTCTGGGGGCTGATCTACGGAGCCACAGAAGAAAAGGAGGATCTAAAATCTGACACCATCTAGAGAGAAAAACCACTGACCTCAGAGCTTTCCTCAGCGTCTCGATGCACGCCACCACGATCTTCGGGTTCTTGTTGTCCAGACCTTTGAGCAGCTCATCCTGAACCACCTCGGCCTTCTCTATCTCCATGTACATGAGGCAGATGTCCATGCCCAGCTCCTTGGCCCGGGCCTTCGGCTGGTTGAACACTTTGGTGACGACACCCGACACCACCTCACCCGTCGTCCTGCAGCACAGGGACAGAACAGATCAACATTAAAGACTTCTCCAAACATTCCTGGACGTTTACTGTGAAACCATGTCAGCTAAATTAGAGCAAAGCGCATGGAGCTGCGATGTTCTGCAGTACGTCCGTCATCTTTAACTCCAACCACCACCATCTGCCATCATATGTCCTCATCTTACACTAGCAGATAAACTTACTTTCCAGCCACATGTGCGTTCTCGACGAAGGCCAAGGCGGCCTCCAGGCCTTTGAGCTGAGCCACAGCATTAGAGTCTGTGACAAATCTCTTGATGAGACCCAGATACTTTCCCCACTCCGGGCTCTTCTCATCCTCTATCCTCTGGAACAGCTTCAGAGCTTCTTCATAACCGTTAAGTCTGGCCTTCCACACCTGGACAAGACGGGAGAGAAGGTTCACACCAGATCAGACACAAACAAAGAAGACGACTTCAACACTTCAGGACAGACCCGCTTCAACTCAAACAGCACCTATTAGGCTCAGTGCACTGATGCCAAGCAGCTCTTTTCTTTTCTAGAACAATTATATAAAAAACATATTTGCAATTTTTATTCTATAAAAGGTCACAGAATAGAGAGTTGTTGTTTGATGATATCTGGATCAGAAAGCAGCAAACTGCTTTAGCTGCTCATTATTACTGGGTGCACTGAGACCAACCCGCCTGCAGGGTGTTGCCCACTGAAATGCTTCTTTTGGGATGTCATGCCAAGTTAAAGGAATAGTACACCCAAAACATGATTAGCCTTCATTTTCTACTCACCCCCATGCTCAACAACACTCTGGAGTACTTTTTTGATATCTCAAATGCATCTGGAGATCTGGGAGGCTTCTTGCTGTCTGCTGACATTCAAATAATGGAACGTGCTTTTAGGAAATCCTATACACTACTGTTTATGCTCTAAAAAC